GGCGATTTCAGCCCCTATCGATTCAACAACTCTTCTAAGTTAATACCAACACTTTATATCAATATTCTACACTTTCACACGTGTAGAACCTTATGTTTAATCCACCATATGATTTCTTAAAAATCATATGAACAAAATCTAGTTAAAGAATACTAGTTAGATTCTTACCTCAAAACCTAGTCTTTTTGTGTTCGACTTTCTTTCCTATTGCTTCCTTCAAGCTTGGACTTGGTTGTGCGGATGATTCAAAATGATAGGGGAGGCATCATCTTTGCAATCAAAGCCTCAAATAATTCAAAGATGGGGTCATGGGGGTGTCATTTCGTCTCTAGGAGCCTTCCTCCTATCTTGTCCGCCCCCTCCCATATTATTGCTCCCATTTGATTGTTTAGAGTCTACCAGACATGTAGAAAAATACCTAAGTGTGTGTGGGATGTCCCTCCCTAATATTTTTGCTATTTTTAGCAAGTTGGGTCAAACTAGTACTTGAGTTGCCCAATCATTTTCCTTAACTTTAGTTTGCATTTTGTTGGGCTTATATAATTATCATGATAACCCAATTAAATATTTGGTAGCTCATTCTCAATATTAAGGGCCCGATAAATAATTTAATGAATCATTCATTAATTAAATTCATCATTCTTTTACACAAAATTATTCACTAGATTATTCAAATACATATTGAATTTTAATTTCAAGTACATCCTGGTGGGGTGTCAAATAAAATTTAAGATATCTAAATAATATTTTAAATGGAGCTTTTAGTGGACTCACTATTGATATCTAGTATTTAATTTGTGACTAATTTATAGTTGATAGGTGGGATTAGGCATGGACCGGGCCAGGCCTCGGGCCGGGATTGGGGATTTGGGCTAAAGGCCCGGTACCGACCTGGGTTCGAACCGGGACCGGGTCAATATTTTTTTTTAAAAAAATAGTCTTTTCTAATTTATTTCTACCCCCCCCCCCCCCCCCCAAACCCCGCCAAAACACCTAGCCCAACCCACCTAGCAACGGCCCAATGCCAAAAGACAAAAAAAAAAAATTGGCCCTGATCGACCGGGCCAATCCACTAAAATAAGGTCCCGAAGCCCGCCTAGGTCTCGAAGCCCGGCAATGGGTCGGGGTGGGGCGGGTAGTGCAGGACCCAGACCCACCCCATCCCGTGACCCGCACGGGTCAATACTTGTTGGCCCATGACCCGTCCCGCCCCCCGCCGTAACCTAACTAGCTAGTATGAATTATGTATTTCTATTTGCGTGAAGCCATTACAATTTGAATTTACATAAAGTTTATCTCTAAATAATTATAAAAAAGTAGTATAATAAATCATAGCCGCTATGCACCGAAAAATGTTAAAATGTTAAGAAAAAATATCAAGACTTAAAAAGGTAATCTATTATTGTTAATTAATTAATATATAATATGCTAAATATAAAAAAGAAAATGACAATTAATTATTGTTCATCTCATTCAAATATAAATATTAATATATTACAAGATCAAGGAATTTATAATATTGTATAAACATATGTATGTATGTATATATGTATATTTGTAGTATAATTAAAAAAAAAATATGTATACTTATATATTGAGCGGAGCGAGGCGGCCGGGCGGGTCAATACTAATACCCGGGCCCACCCCATTGCATGGACGGGGAGGGACGGACCCGCCCCAAATGCCTCGGGCCAGGACAGGTCTTTGTGGGCTGGGTTCTTTTGACATGCCTAAGCCCGCCCCATTTGACCCCTGGTTCGGGGCCCCAGTACCGGTATCGCCCGCCTGGCCGGGTCGGGTCGGGCCTGCACAGTGGCGGGCCGGGCCGAGCCGACCCATCCCAGTCCATCCCTAGGTGGGATACTTTTGGCGGACTCACTATTAGCTACAATCACTCGCAAAATGCATAGTTGATATTTGTTGTTTCTTTCTCGCATGGGCGGATGGTAGTTAGGGTAGAGGTGGGCTTCAGCCTAGCCCAAAATAATTTTTTTAGTTAGTACAGGTGTATGTTAAATTCTCAGCCCATGCCAAAATTATTTCCCAGCCCAGCCCAGCCCACTGCCCAACTTCTCGACCTTCTGAGTTCCGACTTGCGCTAAAGCCTTAAGCGATTGGAGCTTCACGTAAGAGCAAGTGTCTAGTGACGAAGAAGAAAGAACGATGAGGGAGCACTGGAGCAAACTGCAGACGGAGCTTGAATCTGCGATGAAGAAGTGACTACTGAACGACTCCAGTCTCTAGCCGCGTCGCCGACGTTGTCTACCAATTCCGGCATTCCGCCTCTGCATGGTGACTGTGCGTCTGCGCGTCTGCCTGGTTGCCTCCCTCCAGGCTCTAAGAGTCCAGGTAAACTCAAAATTCAATATCTTTTTTAGATTTTTAATTTATTGTTTTAATTGATTTGGTGTTAGATTGTAATTTCATGAATGTGTCAATGTGTTATACGGTTATAACGTATTATTTGTGTATAATATTAATATATTATTATTTTTAGCATTTTAAAGTTTTAGGGTTAGGGAATCATTTTGATTATTAATTGAATTTTTCAGTACATAAATAAATAATTTTTAATTCATTATAACAAATATATATGATTAAAGATAGAATTGAATAGTAGAAAATAATTTAGTTATTAAAGCTTAGTAGTTTTATGTAGATTAATTCGTCTTGTTTTGACCCTACATGCTTCTACCGCTACTATGGAAAGAACATTTTCAGCAATGAAGCATGTGAAGACGGCACTCCGTAACAAAATGGGAGATGATTTTCTTGAAGTTTCATTGATGATCTACATTGAACGAGATTTTGTCAAAAAATAGATGTAGATTCTATTGTTGATGAATTTTATACTTTGAAGTCCACTACAAAAAAACCACGGGATTGACATAGATTTTGGCAGGGAAATGCCAAATCCGTGCCAAAAACACTTTGGCACGAGCTATTTGGCACGAAAAATTGGTAAGTCCGTGCCAAATTCCGTGTCAATCTCGTAATTTTTTTGTAGTGGTCGCGTAGGACACAACTTAAATGATGTTTTGATGAATATTTAAATGGTTGACAACTTGACTTATTATTAGGAATATTAGGTATGTGTATTTCAATTTTTTCCCCGAGCCCACCCCATTGTAACTTTCTGGATCCGCCCCTGCTTTCTCGTTGTGAGCGAAATTGGAGCACTTTTGAGTTTGTAAATAGTAGTACGTGAGTACTAACTTCAATTACAAATTACATAAGAATTTGATTGATTAAATCAAAATAATCATATATATATATTTAGTTTTTTTAGATTCATATGAAAAAAGGAAGCACTTTGGAGCATAATAGGTTGAATGACTTGGTTTATATTTAATTAGTATAATAAGATGATAATAACTATATTCCAGAAGCAACTCGAACAAGGAACAAGCTTCAACCGATTGATATTCGAAGAGTTCCAATGAGATAGTGAATGGCTCAACAACGAGTCAACGATATTGTTCATCCCTCGTCCCGATGAAGATATTTTATGGAGTCATCTTACTTAATATGGGTGCATAAAGATCACAACTATATTCCAGGACACGAGTCAACTATATTCCAGGACACGATTTTTGTAGTGAATGGAAGCTATGGGTGCATAAAGATCACAACCTTATTTAATTAGAGAAAATGGGCAAATAAGTATACTCAAACAACCTTATTTAATTAGAGAAAATGGGCAAATAAGCCATTGAGCTATTGGTGATTTTGAATTTAGACCGGAAAACCTTACGAATACACCTCTTGATCCAATTTAATAGAGCAATTAAGCCCATTTTACCGGCTGGTGTCGATAACTTCTTACGAAAAAGTCATTGCCTTACAGGTAGGCTTGGACTCGGGTCGGGCCACCCGGCCCGTGGATCGGCCCGGCCCGCTACTGTGCGGGACCGGGACCGGCCCGGTTCTCGGGTCCGGGTCGGGCCTAGGCCCGGGGGTAGGGCGGGTCCGGGCTCGGGTCTCAATTTTGGTGAACCGGCCCGGCCGGGTCGGGCCCGGGCCAAATTGATTTTTTTTTATTTTTTTTTTTCATTTTTGGGGTTCCACCCGGGTTGGGCTTGATGGGTAGGATGGGTTTGGGGGGGTTTGGGAGGGTGGGGGGTGAGGGAGGGGGGGGGGGGGGTTAGGAAAGCAAAAAAAAAAATCCAAACCGGAGGCCCGGCCCCGGTGGCTACCCGGGCCGGTCCTGGGTCCACCATTCTTGAACCGCCGGCCCGCCCGGGCCTAGGCCCGACCCGGACCCGACCCGGACCCGAGTTCACCCCTACTTACAGGTACCAACAAATAAAGAAAGAATATATTTTTTTAATTCGATAGGTTGAACAATAGAATGCAAGGGTATGTTATATTTGTGAGATCTTTTATTTTCTAAGACTCTTTTGTTTCAGGGGTCTCATTGTAGAATTACTAATAGTATAAGAGCTCATTTGACCCTTCTCTCATTTCATTATTATTGACTAAATAACTGTGATGAGAGCCGAATCAGAGGTAGTATTAGAAATTAAATACTACATCCGTTCTCTTTTAATCGCAAAATTGGACTTTTTGTACTATTCACGTATTCTACTTTGACTATATTTTATTTATAGTCAAATTCTTCTCATTCTAAATTTTCAAAATCTGATTTTTTTTTTAAAATTTTTACTTATAACTTATAAGGAATGAAAGATATTAATGGTCAAACTTGTGCGTTGGCAAACGTGAAAAGTAGACTCTCCGATTAAAAGGTAATGTAGGAAGTATATCAAACAATATTTTATATGTTTAAATATTGCATACAATACAAGTATGACTAATTGCCTAGATGGTAAGACAATCAGTTGGCACCTGCATTAGGTTACTTTGTAATCTTTACTCAGATAGAGAACTCAGTGGTAGCAAGGTGCCACAGTCCGTGTTTAAATTTTGAATGCTAAATTTATTTACCTCCTCATGGTTCTTGATCCGCAAGCGCTGTGTCACGGTTTACCCAATCCGAATGCAACACAACTGCAGAACTATAATTCGTATGCAAAAATTGGTGACCTAAATGTATCCAGATCTGAACTGTACAAGTTTTAGAGATTGAGCTAATTTTCAGTGATACAACAACATTTGAGTCGACTACGAATCCTACACTATTTTACATCCTGCAATGCTTTATTTAAATAAAACATATTACACAATCGCCATTGCTACGTGTTTTCACAAACTACCTCCGTGGTACAAAGACTGAGACTTCCCGAATGGTGGAAGTACAAAAGCTTGCACGGGGAGAAAGAAGATGTGCCCTCCGACCATTTACGTTACAACGCGGGCCATCAGTTTCTTGCCTTGACTTCTATATACATCGAAATTGGCTGAAGAAATTTTCTGCAGATGCGTGTTGAATGTTTGAAGCCCAAGCAAAGTTTAAGTAATCAACAAAAGCATAATATGCAGATACCAAGCAGGCGTAAGTTATAAATTACTCACTGTTGGGGAAACAGAGCTACTGTTATAACTTCTCTGATGTGTCTTGAAGAGCATGTCACTCAACTCAAAAACACTACAAGCAGCAAGCCACAATGCACTTCACAGACCTCAATTTGATTTGAGATGAAAAAAACGTGAAACTTCGCGGTATAGTTGCTCTGGATCAAATGGTTTTGAGACATATCCATCCATTCCAGACCTCAGACATTGCTCATATGTGGCATGGATTACATCGGCAGTCATTGCCAAGATGGGCACATGCCAGCTTGGTCCATTTCTGTAAGCTTCATCCTGTTTGCGATTTTTGTTATTACTAATTTGATTTTCAAGTTCACGGATTCTTTTGGTTGCTTCAAACCTGCATCATGAAGGAATGTAAACTTACATTTCAGTTCTGGTATCAAAACACATAACAGACCACTGCAATAGCCCGTCTTGCTGAATGCTAGGTGTACTGAAAATTTTCATGCACTTAATCTTAAAGAAGGTTACACGTTATTGAGCACAACAGCCTTAAATCAGTATAGTAGTTAATTTAGTCAGACAAGCTGCTCATTGGAGCTGAATTGGCTATGTAAACCATATTAAAACTTAGAGTTGTCTTAAAAGGTGAACTTCACACAGCGAAGATGAATAATGTGAGACTTTATAAATAAGTTTGTATCTTTATATTTGGCCGGTGTAGAATGACTTAATTTGGTGGGTGAAATAGCCATCACTAGTCACTACATAGGAGATGTAGAAATTAAAAAATGGCATCATGTTATGAATAAAAGATAAAAGGGATCAAGTGAAGCATACCCGTCCATCCTTGGCATTTGAATATCCATAAAACATGCATCAAACTCATGAGGTGGACGTAGAAGTGAAATTGCATTTTCCCCACAGTCTGTGCAAACCACATCAGCACCATACTTCCGCAAGGCAGCGTTAGCTACTTTAAGGTTCACAAGGTTGTCATCCACAACAAGTATCTTCCTTCCGTGAAGGAGCTCAGAAAGAGGAGCACCAGAAACCATTCCACTCCTGTGGTTTCCTTGGTTGTTAACCCCCATGGCACGCTGGAGAGACGCAGCAAGCATACTAGCTCGTAGCGGCTTCATAATAACAAATGGAGTAGAAACACCCAATGTTGAGGTGTTTGCTCCTGAACTTATAGAATTAGCTAACAAAAATAGTTTAGGAGATGAACTGATATTGTAGCTTCTTAGTTTGTTGACAAATCGAGTAACCTGCCCCGAATCTCTATCCCATACTTCCTGTTCAACTAGAACCATATTTATACTTGTTTCCTCGGTGCTTATAAATAAGAGCTCTTCATTCAAATCTTGAACCACCTTAACATAAATACCAAGGCGTTGAATGTGATACTTTGAGACCTCTGCTCGTACAGTCCGGGGATCTACAACTAAGGCTCTCATTCCTTTGAACTCAGAAAAAGCAGAACTGGGCTCGTTTGAATCAGCACAACCATTAGATAAAACAGCAGTAAAAGTAAAAGTAGACCCAATTCTTGGCAAGCTCACAAAACCAATTTCACCCTTCATCAGATGTACTAAACATTTACTTATACTCAATCCAATACCAGTACCCCCATGAGTCCGTGCAATGGAGGGGCCAACTTGCATGAAGGGAGTGAATACAAGATGCTGAGCTTCAAAGGGAATTCCTACGCCTGTGTCTTCAACTGAGACAATTAAATTGATTTGATCAGGGCTCAATTTGTAAGACGGGGATCCTCCTTGATTAAAAGCATTGATTTCTTTCCAGCTCTTATGTCTATCGGCTACTTGGAACCCACTCAAAGTGCCACTTGATCCATGCTCAACAGCCACTTCCTCAACAAGATGGACAGTGACGAATATATGCCCCTTCTCAGTGAACTAAGAATGAACACATCAAGTAACAAAATTAAGATGCAAAACTTTCTATCACCCTAGACTTATGTTTATATGCATTTAGCAACTTACTTTAATTGAGTTTCCCATCAAGTTTGTGATGATCTGCCGAAATCTCCCTGGATCACCGATTAGCAACTTTGGTATCTTCTCCGAGATATAAACTGCCAACTGTTCCAATATAGTATTTGCAAAAAGAAAAACAAATCAATCAATAAATAAAAATGAAGAAATAGATAAATTGATATTGAAATTTGAAGGGATTTAATAACAGCAAGATGGAGGTATTCACAAATCAAGTTCAGATATGAAATACACAGATAATGTTAAGGAATGTGACTGAAATAAACCATTTATCCATATACATATTAATTCGGACTGCATAAGTTTTTACCCCCTAAATAGAAGCTATTTTTTCCATTAAAAATATCAAAAATGGGAGAACTTATGTATCCCTGTTGAACATGTTGGTGAATTTAGTGTCACTGGCCATTTTATGTAATTGGAAATGACATGAGTGTCAAAGGGGATTATAAAACTATGATCTAATACAAGCTAGTATGTGTGGAGGACACACTTAAGTATAAGAACTCGAAGTAGAACTCGCAGAAGAGCTTTCAGTAGACCAACTTTATGGTTCTAGACTCGGGTCTTGAGCAGTTGAGGCAGTTTCGTGCAATTTTCCAGAAACTGCCGCAATTGTTTCCTAAACGGGTTTTAACTGCTAGAAATGGTTCATATGGATATATATCTCCATATTTCGTACAAAAGGAAAGGGAAGAAACATATCTTCATCATTTTGGCATTCAAATCTAAAGAAAACAATCCATACATTCACTGGTTTGTGCTTTTGAGTTTGTGCCTAATTTTAGAGTGTCCTTAAAGATTATCCTAGATTGAATCTCTTGTAAGTTATAACCTAGGCATAGGGGAGAAATATCAATTTGGAAACTGAAATTACACGATCTTTAAGCAATTCAAGAGCTCGATTATCACCCCTACGAACCCCAACAGAACAGAAAAAAAAAATCCAACCGTATGGTGACAGGATGACGATGGCAATGACGATGATAAGTGGTGAATATGAGGGTAGTGGAGGGCAACAGTGTATGGAGAGACTAGATGTGGTTGTGGTCTTTTATCCTTTTTAAATTGTGGGAAATCACGATGATAACTATGGTTATAATTATAATTTGTGTTAGGGGTTTATTGTTAACTCAAGTACATTAGGTCCTACTATGTTTTAGTAGTCTTAATTAGGAAGCAGCAAGTAGTCCATCCATATTTCTCAGTCTTTCAGACTTTCCTTTAAAGGAAGTAACTATGTAGCTGTTAGTCTTGTTACACTTTTCCTTTTTAGTAAATAATACTCCCTCCATCCGACTAACAATGGTACAACAGAGAGTAACACACATACCAATAAGAGTGAGTTTTATGTGGTTGATATTGAATTGATAAGCTAAGAATAAAGTAAGAATGATTTAGAACCACACAAATTTTACTAAATTTGGTATGAGATAATCTTAGTGGGACGGACTGTAACACCCCAGCCCCCGCAAGGTCCAAGACAGTTACTCCAGACCTGTAGTACTATCCTCACAAACCACCACAAGCCTTTACCAAAACTACTCCTGTGCAAGCACGCTTAACTTTGGAGTTCTTAGCTGATGAGCTCCCTTAAAAGGAGATGCACCTTGTTGGTATGAATAGTACTATTAATCCGTTTAAATTAAATCTCAAGTATTACAATCACCCCCACTTAAGAACGCAACGTCCTCGTTGCGCCCATAAAACAATCTCTGATCTCAATGAAATCCCAGAATCCTCCCCCGCTAAATGTCCGCCCGATATCCAACGGGTCAGGTCACTGTCGCATGGTTGCTCTGATACCACCTGTAACACCCCGGCCACTGCAGGGTCCAAGGCAGTTACTCCAGACCTCTAGTACTATCCTCACAAACCACCACAAGCTTTTACAGCACACTTTGTCCTCACTCGTGCGCGCCCTGAGAAACTTCTCAGGGGGTCACCTGTCCCAAGACTAGTCCCGTGAAAGCACGCTTAACTTTGGAGTTCTTAGCTGATGAGCTCCCTTAAAAGGAGATGCACCTTGTTGGTATGAGTAGTACTATTAATCCGTTTAAATTAAATCTCAAGTATTACACGGACCGAAAAGGAAAATTGGAACAATCTTAGCGGGACGGAGGGAGTAAACACTAGTGAAAAGACATAAATGCTCCTACTTTTAATGTTCTTCCTCCTACTTTTCCAGATTACCATATCGAACCTACGCACTTTAAACTACCTCTATCAATTTACTCTTAAAAACCATGAAAAATCCTATTGGGACAACTCATAGAAGACAGAGAAAGTATGTTTTAGTACTAGTAAGGAAAATACAACATACCTCAACTCCTTTCTCCTGTGATTTCCCTGAAAAAAGTGACAGCACATCGTCCAAAATTTCCCTTGGATCAAAAGACACTGCCTCAAGCTCAAGCTTTCCCGATTCAATTTTGGCTTGGTCCAAAACCTCATTTATAAGTGAAACTAAAGCTTTACCACTAGCCTGAGCAGTTCTAACATAATCTTGTTGGGTTACATCCAGGTCAGTGTCCATGAGCATATGAAGCATCCCTGTACATAGATGCACATAGTTTAATTTTGAATTGTATCATGTTCAACAGTTTGTTATCATCTATCCCATAATTTTCTCCTCACTTTGACTTGACACACTTTTTATAAAAGTAAAATTATAAGGTTGTGGTTAATGTAAAAGAAATAAATCTTGGGACATTACTAAAAGAAAGGTGGAAGAACATAATACAGGGAGTAATAATTACTAAATGAGGAGAAATCCCGAGACTCACCAAGGACACCATTCATAGGGGTCCTGATTTCATGGGAAACAGTAGCAAGAAACTACAATATAATGAAATAGAAAAATAAATTAGCTGGGTTATCAGAGTAATATCAATTATATGTTAGGACTACGAAACAGAAAAGGCAACGCATACCTGTGATTTTGCAACATCAGCTGCCTCAGCACGCTTTTTGAGTTCCATCATTTGATGATAATCATCCTCAACCTTCTCTATTCGTTTTATTGTGGCATAAAATATTTGCCCTACGAGCAATGCAATTGTAAGGATGCCAAAGGAGGTTATAATAGCAAGCCAAGGCCATGGTTGCTTCTGCTTGAATCTGCATCCATAACAATAATTATTCACCAGATCTTTGAGGTCCAAAAGGGCATGGGCTAAGGGACACACTTAGCGAGATATAAGATGGTTAAATCATTATTTTATTTTTTAATCATAGTAGATATATAACTGAAGGCTACAGCAGTAGCGAAATAAAGGTCAAAAAGTAAAATTTGAAGGAAAGATATACTCCCTCCATCCCATTAGAAGGTTCCCACTTTCCTTTTTTGGACGTCCCATATAAAGGTTCCCATTTCCATTTTAGGAAACAATTAACAATCTTAAGTGACAAATTAATCATTAAATATTAAAAATAATACATTTATAACATCACAGTTATCAATACTAACTACATTATAATATATACCTATTAAAATTATTTCTCAAAATATACTAGAAGTACTTTATTTAATTATTGTCTAAATAGCCGTGCTGTTTTTCTATGGGAACCTTCCAACGGGACGGAGGTAGTAGCAGATAAGCAAGAGCTATCACCTGCAACGCATTTCATGCTTTCTGAATGGATCCCCAAAATTTAGGGAACTAATATGCTCCAGGTGATCAATTGATACATTTGAACCATACATACTTATAGGATCAGAGATATTTGTTTTGTCATAGACATTGACAAGGATGGTTTGTTCACTTGCAAGCTGTTGTAGAAGCTTCTCTACAAGAGATTCAATATCAAAAACTCCTCCAAGGTACCTGTTACAAGAAAAATATGAAACTGGGTTTTCCATCAAACCTACTGATTTCTTCCCATCCTATCTGAGAGTGAAATTTAATACAAAGTCACTCCTTAAGTTTGACTGACTAACTAAGGAAAGGCATCAACTATCTCCATTGGGTGACCAAATACAAATCCTTTTGAGTTTTGTATCATGTGACTTCACAACTCAGAATCATAATTGCTGACTTCTGTAGCCTTTTAAGCCTTTGAAAATTGAATTTTAAATTTGGTCATATAGATTAGTTTTCTTCTTCACAATAAAATGACATACCCATAAGTTGCTTCAATTCTCTCATAAGAGGTTGCATTTGAGGGGACCTGTCTTTTGTAGACAGCAAATGTCAGTATTACTCCAAGTCTGTTTGTTTTGAGCAGCTTGAATGGAGCTGTGAGAACACCCTTTCCTGAGGCTCTTGCACGCAGTACATTTTCACGATCTTCCTGGTAGGAATCGTATTGAAGTGCGTATATCTGAGAATCAATCAAAATCTGAAGATTGCATTAAAAAACAAAAAATTTACCTTTCCAGAGAGCACATCGACTGAAATTACATGAGCAATTGTATCCTGAGCAAAGATAACGGGTGCGTATTCATCCTGAATCGGGGACGGCTCCAGGTTATCTACATTATACTCATTTCCATGAAATTGGGGTTCCATTCTCTTAATTGTCCAACCTTGTTCCCTTTCAAAGTGTTCTCGGTCATGGTGGAGAACCCTCACAGCATATGCAACGCCACTGGTAAGAGGCCGCTCAAAAGCTGTCCTTTCTGTGTATCTTGCGAAAGTCATCTGTAAAAGCTCACTTAAGTTAGTAATATTACTTTGTAGAATCACACATGCACGCACAATATAGTAAAATTTCATCACACGTGAACTAAACTTAAATGCCCAACCCCATTGAATCAGGTAATCATGTCACCATTCATCAATGTGTGAGCAATTAGCATTTTCCTTGGCGCATAGGTAATTAAGCAACCAAAAGCAAGAAATGTTACTGAACACTAAATATATATTCACATCTGAATTTCAATGCAACCCAAATTATTTGGCCCTAAAGTTTTTCCAATTATTTATGCTTGTGAGTCCTGACAAAGTACTACTGAAATTTGAGTTTGACATTGAAACAACAGTAAACCAAAGAACTTGCAAGATAATATTATGCATTATCCAATGTGATGGATTAAAAACACTACAACTCAATAAAACAAGATATCGATTCAGTGTTCAATTAAATACTCCGTATTTAGGAGAGGTTTGTCTGATTTCACCATTATTAAGAATTGATTTCATTCTAAAATGTCAAAAGTGAATGCAGGAGTAGCAGAAAAACATTATTCATGAGCTTATATCTTTATACGGAGTATTTAGCTTGTATGTAAAAAAGGCAGCCCAGTGCACAAAACCACAAGGGTGTATAACTTAGTTCAACAAAAACACAATCCATAAGGTATATAACCTGATCAATAGCAGAAGGATTTTTGCCGTGGTGGAAAGTAGAGATCAAAATGGACATTGCTTGGACATGATTCATGCTGACATTAAACTGATCCTGCAGCATCCTAGCTCTCTCATCACACATGCTTGCTAGTGTCTCTTTCCTCTTTTCCTTAACTTGAGTACTCAAAAGGTAAAAGGCACAAAAAGCTACAACCACCCAAAAAACTACCCAAACTGCCAAAAGAACCCACCAGTTTTTCCTCACTTTCTTCGAAACAATATACTGAGAATAACTTTGGTGGATCTTGGAGATGTTGCTGGAGATCTTCCCCCACAGATTGGCCAATATCTCCTCTCCATCATCAAGAAAAGCCTTGGCGGTCATGATTCCACCACTCTTACTCAACCAACAATCCAAGGAAATCAGTGTTAGAACCCAGTAGCATGGTGTCAACAGTAGGCTCCCCAACTTCACACCAAATCCAACCACATGGAAGAAACTCATCGAAGAACCTAGAAAACCAAAAGCTTCCTCTTCTGAAAATCATTAAGAAATCCCAAACAAAGCCTATCCTGTTAAACCTACCTCAACAATATTAATAATAATAAAAATCCAAACTTTGGAAGATGGGAGAAAATAAGCTAAGTAATGCCCCAAATAAACAGCCCTTCCTCTATGACTTGTCCTAATTCCAAGAATTTTGTCCTGTTTGGATCTTCTTAACCCCTATTAAAACTGAGCTGATAGATTAGTCAAACAAAACCAAAAGAAGTGGTGGGGGGATCACAGTGTTTGGTTTCTGCAAAGGGAATATCACAAATAAGCCAATCAAGCTGAAGAGTTGAAGCAAAAAATGAAGGAAATGCACAAGGGAGAAGATCCTAGCTAGTGACAAGAAAATGTACTGAAAGGAACAAGAAAGAGGATAAAAGCTACAGCTAAGCGACTGAAATACGGACACTATACAAAGAAAGAATCTTGGAAAGTGAAGAGGAGAGAGGAATATGGGGTGGGGGTAGAAATGTCTGCTGGCACAGGGCACTATCTCCGGTCTTCCTATCCAAAGGCAGTCCCTATCCACTCAATATAATTGTACTAGCCAAAAAATCTCAATATACCTCCTCCTCTCATTTTTGTTGGGCGAATTAATAGCAAATGCACCTATTTTAGCACTTTTGCCAACTTGTAGGAAGAATAATAATCATAAGGAATTGAAATTTTGTAAAGTTGTGAATAGTAAATGCACTCTCAAATCTCAATGTAGCATTCCTCCTTATAAACTGACATATTTGTGTACCTGTATAGGAAAATGACAAGGAGTGTGGTGCCATGCTTGTCTAAATGAACTAGCTATTTTGGATTCAAGTTCATAATAATACTTGTAAAGTACGATCCGAATGTAATGAATATTAGGTTTTTGAAAACCTCCTTATAAATCACATTCACCGCATTGATAAAGAAATGTGTTTCTTTTGAACATATGAGTGTATTAAGATATCTTTGCTCATTATTTTTGGTATTACAATGTAAAATTGGTCATTATTGAAACTTATCTTTCAAAGTATAAATCAATTTTATGTGATAACATTTAGGAAAACCAGTTTCCAACCAACAAACGTTGAATAGATTCGAGTAGAGAAAAAAAAAAGCTTTGATTCAATACCAAAATAATATCGAACTGTGACCGGTGCCGACGTTGTGGTCGGCGGTGGTTACCGGTCGGAGGTGGCGGCATGTGTCATTATGTTCGTATCATTGTGTTCGTGTCACTGTAGCATGCCATGTCATTAGGGGTAAATTAGTAAACTTACTACTAATTAGTCACATTTTTGGAAATTATGAAAAGTGTCACTTTTTGTTTATTGTCCAATTATTAGTAATATTGAGGTTAAACCCCTTTATTTATTATATATGTCCAACAATTACTTGCATTATGCATTGTCTACATAATTTTAGATCTAAATGTGCTATTGTGATTCCATTTATTGGGACAGAATGATACAAAATCAATATGTATACTATCTATATTCCTATATAATTCCATGATGTTGATTTCTACATTGATCACACATTCTACTTTGACTATATTTTACTACGTATTTATTAATGTATTAGACTTTTTGATAAATATTGTTCAATTATATCAATTTAAATTTCCAAAAATCTCATTTTTTTAGTTTTTGCTTATAGTACAAAATAATCAAAGTAGTGCGTTGAAAACGTGAAAATGAAAGTATTGTAACTAAAAGGAAAAGAAAAATTATAAAAGAGAATTTTTTTGGGAACATTCAAAATGTCATTTAAGTATGCGATGTCATTATTATATACTTCTAACCAATCCAATTAATTTTTCTATCGTTGTTTTTTTTATATACTACAGGTAGTCATGGTACAAATATAGAAACATAAATTATACTTCGTATGTTACAATTTTTTTAGGGTGTTGGTTCGGTAGGACATTTCTACTATCCATAACAATTGAACATGTATGTATGGGCCGCTTGCACATACGAATAGACATGTACAACGTTTTTGCTTGAAAAATATACGTAGTAATTAAGAGTTGTATGAAAAATTTATTTCATAAAACATATTAGTTAGAAAAAAATCCAATAAACAAATTTAAAAATTACTCAATTTGTTTATTTTTCATATCCCTAATGCATGTACATTCAGTAGAAAGTAGCAATTCCATAAGATTATGAAGAATGAAACAATAAGAATTAGTTTTTATATTTCAATTGCTTAACTCGGTAATTTATATATGAAACTAATATGGAGAATGCAAATATTAAATTAATTCAGTTTTTTGCTTATCCTAAATGCATTCACATTTAGTACAAAATATTATTCCCATAATTTTATAGAGAATATAAAATATAGATACATATGGTCTATATTTATTTAGCAGAATCACACAATGTGTATGTATTTACAATTTACATTTTTTTTGAATTTTTTTACTTATTATATCATTCTTTATAAGTAATATTTCAATTATTTAATTTGAAAATCATAATTCATATTTATAAATGCTTCTCCTGTTCTAAGCATGAGTTGAAAGGTAATTTTACTTGTAAACGTAAAATGTCAATTTTGAAAATAAATGAGAAAAATGTAGGGATGAGGGTCAGATAGGGTCTCAAACTTGAAAAAAAATGTCAAATAAGGCCATATTTAGGATGCTCTGTCCGGCCGATGTCATTTGGGGCGGTTCCTGGTGGAAATTTTTGATGAATTTTTTTGAGAATCTTATTCATTAAGTCTAGTTTACTCATATCAAATTTGAACTAAAACTTCAATCGGGAACGCATACAAATGAATTCTTGAAGATAACTACGCACTTAAAAGAGCAGTTATCTTCAAGAATTCATTTGAATGTCTTCCCGGTTGAAGTTTTAGTTCAAATTTGATATGAGTAAACTAGACTCAATGAATAAGATTCTAAAAAAAATCATCAAAAAATTCCACCGGGGACCGCCCCAAATGGCGTCAGCCGGACAGAGCATCCTGAATATGACCTTATTTGACATTTTTTCCCAAGTTCGAGATCCTATCTGACCCCTATCCCAAAAATGTATCAATTAATTTTTAATCATTACCTCATATGTTTTGAATAGACTGACATTTTTATCGCATATTTTTTAACAAAAATTATTGTTTTTATTTGGTATGTTGTAAGGAATGTTAATAATTATACGCTTATTACTAAATAAATATTTTATTCACAAGATTTTTTCGAAAATTCAATTTATTATTTTATATTTTTTAAATAAAATAACTATTATCACTAAAAGTAACTTATTATTGTAGAATAAACAAATTATACTGTGTTTTGCAAATTAAATACACACAGTGCATATGAACAAATATGAAAAAAATAGTTAACTTACTTTTTAAAGAAAACTTAGACGAACTATATTAGAATTAAACTACTGTTTCTCTCTTAATATTGGTCATACATGTTGCACGGGTTTAAAATATAGTATTAGTATACAAATTGAATGGAATATGAAATATATAAAACATTTCAAAATATGCGTATTTTTCATGGAACATAATATGCAAAGTATTTCAAAATACCGAATGAATTTTTTTAGAATATATGTAGTTTTCTAGAACCAACTTGATAAATCCTTAGAAACATGAAATGAAATTCATTATTACAAAATATTTCAAATATATGTATTCTCTCTAAATGGAATGATTATATTATTTATAGTTTAGTTGATAATTGATACCATAAATATATTTAAATAATATAAATTAGGACTTAATTACAATTAATGACTATTCACTAATTGGACTCGATATCAATTAATTGAGAATTCAATTTCAATTAAAAGATTGTACTTTATTACTGTACTAAGTAAGTAGATGTAAATATTTTGAATTTAGAACTTAATTGTAATTAATGACTATTCACCAATTGGACTCAATGGTAATTAATTGAAAATTCAATTTCAATTAGAAGGTTGTGCTTTATTATTAAGTACGTAGATAGTTTGACTTTCACATTTTTCAACGCACAACTATGACATTAATTATATTTAATTACGTATTAATAAATATTATAAAAAAAATAATATAATTGAATTGAATAATACTTTATAGGATGCATATATGGTACAGCCGGTTGTACGGTGCCAGCCGTACAGCCGGCTGTAAGGTGACAGCCGTACAGCCGGTGACAAACTTGTAATTTTAGTGAAATATACGGATTCTCTTAAATGAGCATTGAATCAATTTCGATGAGCATCGAGCCTGTTCTTTTGAGTATTAGGAGCCTACCAGTGAACATTAGTGATATCGTCTTCATTCCTGATATATCACATCCATTTATTATTTTTTAGTTTATTAACGTCTTAAATTATGTCTATAATTAATTTCATTTAATTTCAATATGTTAATCTAATGGATTATGATATGTTTAAGTGTTAAACATGTGCAACCTTTTAAAATGAGTATAAAATAGTACCAAATGAGCATACATATAAAATGAGTATCAAAATATTAAAAAATTTATTTGTGTGTACTCATTCATTTTGGGTGTTATACTCATTTGAGTTTAACATAAAACTCATTTTGAAATATGCATTAATATGACATTTTAAAATGAGTATTGCACTAGTATCAAATGAGTATACATAAATTAAGAATAGAGCATTCAAAAACTTCATTTCAAATGTCTACTATGCTCATAATTGTGATTTGATTGCTTGAGGTTCCTTTTTACGTGAGATGATTCAGAAAAGATGGATGCCAATGCTAAGCACTAATCGGCGGTTTCCTTTAAATTCCTTTGTGCGAAGGTGTAATTCCACTTTGATTCATTCCTTGCTAGAGACGGTTACACCCGTATGAACCAGGAGATGGTTACGGAAATGGTTTCTCATCAAGCTCCTTCCGGCACATGAAGGGGAAAGGTAGAATCTGAAGAAACAAGATTATTAACCGTCAAAACTTGTGAAAATGCAGAAGCAATAATCGACCAGGTAGGCATATTAGCCGGAATCAAGTGGTGAGGATGGAGCGACTGATTTGGTTGCCGTCCTCCGTTCATGAGTTGAGGTGATGCAGATTTAATTACAAAAATGTCCGGCTGTACTATACGGTGCTCACCTTACTGCTGGTTGTACGGTGCTCACCGTACAGCCGGCTGTACGGTGTAATTTACCATACTTTATACTCCATCGGTCTCGAAAAGATTCACCAAATTGATTTTTCTTAGTCAATGACAATCAACTTTGACCAATAATATTTTTTAATACAAAATTATTTTGAATATGAAAATTATATCAAAATGTTCCTTATTTAAAATATTTTAGTAAAAATATAAAATTTATAAATTATATACAAATATAATAATTAAAATCATTATCCAAAGTGTATCATCATTGAATAAGAAAAGTTCATATGACAAACCTTTTAGGAATGAAGGTACTACTTAATAATTTGATTATATCTGTTAGTAGGAAATGAGTAAGGTGTTGAATAGTACGAGTATAAAAATTTAACTTTAAC